ACCAGTGAGTCTGAGGGAGGGAGGCAGCAGGGCGGTTGGCCCTGGATTTGCTCCCCCTCAGGGGCGGTAGGCAGGGGGACGGAAAAGAAATAAGAAAGAGAGGGTGTTGTCCTGCCTGGGTGGCTCGGTTGGCTGGGCGTCGTCCCGTATACTGAAAGATGGTGGGTTCAATTCCCCGTCAGGGCACACACCCAGGTTCCAGGTTCAATCCCTGGGGTGAGTACAGGAGGCAGCCAATTGATCTCTCTCCCCTTCCCCCCTCTGAAATCAGTTAAAAAAATTAAAATAAATCACTGCCCCCTGGGAGCTTGGCGTGACAGGGTGGGTGAGAGGCACCAAGCCAGGTGCAGAACAACACGCAGAGAACTCGGGTGCCCCGGCAGGGCCTGGGCCACAGTGAGGTGGGATGGGGCCTGGGTGTCAGGCAGCCATTCCCGCTGCCACTCCCGGCGGCTCCCCAAGCAGGGCTCCTCACCCAGCAAACCGGTCTCTCCTCCTCACCGCAGGTTGCCTAGCAGAGCAGTGGTCCGGCAAGAAGGGGGACACGGCCGCGCTGGGAGGGAAGAAGTCCAAGAAGAAGAGCAGCCGGGCCAAGGCATCCAGTGGCAGCGGCAGCAAACAGAGGAAGGAGCTGGGAGACCCCGGCCCCGAGGAGGACGAGGGCATCCAGCAGGCATCTCCCCTCACACACAGCCCCCCTGATGAGCTTTGAGCCTAACCTGGCAGCCCCTGAACCCAGACTCCTGACGTAGAGGTGGAAGCATCTGGGGCCCGGCTCTGGCAGGCAAACGCAGCTCTCCCGGCCCCGGGTCCTCCCGGCCTCGCTGGGTCCTCTTCCTGGGGGGGAGAGGCACAGCTCTGGGAAGAACTGAGATGGCTACGTCAGCCCACGCTGGCCTTTTCCCACTGCCAAGCATTTCTCTCCTGGCAAGGCTTCAGGCAGGCCGTGCGGTGTGGGACTGCCGAGAACTCAGGGCGGCAGGTGTCGCTGGGCCCCAGGACTGGAGCCCTCTGGACCCTGTGGGGCGGGCACGCCTGCCCCCATCGGAAAGCAAGACAGCAGGCCCCACCCCCTCCTTTCTCTCATCCTCCTGTGGACACCTTGTGCTCTGCCTGGCCCTCCCTAGGGTTCACAGAGTAAAAACCTTTTGGCCTTTTTTCTGATTTCCGAGTCACCTTCAGCCCCTCAGAGGGGCCTCAAGCCCCTTGCTGCTCTTCCCTGCCCTTGACCTTCCAGCCCTGGGGGCTGAGGATGGGGAGGGCCTGGGCTATTTTGGGGTAAAGGGCAGGCATGGGGTGAGGCCCAGCACAGTGCCTGGCCCCTCCCTCAGGCCAGGAGGGGCCTCATTTTTGCCCTGAGCACCAGGCTGCCCTCATTCCCACCTCCATGTGGCCCTGCCTGTTGGTCTTGAACCTTGTTCCCTGATTGATCACTCTTGCTCTAGCTGTTTTCCCTGGAGTCTAAGGGGGAGGACACCCCAGTCCCCCGAGGACAGCTGGTTACACCATGTCCTCTGGGAGCAGGGAAGGCTGGCCTCTGGGGGGGGGGGGGGGGGGCGGCACTGCCCAGCCTGTCCTGAGGGCAGGGATCGGGCGGTGGCAGTAGTGATGACAACGGTACTGCAGAGCGCTTTGCTTTCCCACCTGTGGACTGGGTGCTGTTAACCCCATTTTGCAGCAAAGGAAACAGGCTCAGGTCAGGGGACATGCCCCAAGTCCTACTGTTGGGTGTACAGCTGGCACTCAGACCCTGGTTTCCAGACTGCAAGCCCAGCATTGTCTCCACTACCCCACAGCCGCCAGGGCGCCACCCCCAGTGCCTGGCACTGGCAGTGTGATTCACATGGAACTGGTTTGGTTGGGTTTCTTGGCCGTAACCTACCTCCACCAACAAGCCTCTTTTAAAAGGAAAAAAGGAAGCAGCTGTTGCTTCTTAGAAGGAGAGAATGGTGGGAGGTCCCACCAGCACTGGGCCCCCACCAAGTCCCCTGTGAGCACCCACATGGAGACCTCACTCCCCTGGGCCGGGCCCAGTGGGCAGGAGGGGATGCACTGCTGAGGTGCCCCAGATTCTTCATCTTCTGGTGAAGAGGCTCTGGGGGTGAGGGGTGCCCTCAGCCTGGGCTCAGCCTCTTCCCCAAGTTGGGGCAGCCAAGGCCATGGAGAGTGGAACAAACTGGGATTTTATTCCCTCTGGTCAGTGAGGCCTTGAAGGATATTTTTGGGTCTGTCCCCCACTGCCCCACCTCCAGGGCTGATCACTGCTCCTGTTAAAAGGGCTGTGGATTCCAGCGTAGACTCAAGTTCTAGCCTCAACTTTGTTCTGCGCACAGGAAGTGACGGGGTGGGGTTGGGGACTGGAACGCAGGGCTGGAAAACCATTTGCAAACCCCTGGGCTGTCCCTAATCCAAACCCACAACCTTCAGTGCCTGGCTTACGTCTGTCCCCAAAGCTTTATTGATCCTTAGGGTAGGATGAGGCAAAGATGTATCCTCTTACCAGGGTGGTGGCCCAGAGGCCCAATCCCAGGCCAGGCTTGGGCCAGAGGGCAGACAGCTGACTACTTTGCTCTTTGACCTGTGGCTGCCCCATGAGAGCCCTCTCCTCCCCCTGCCCCCACAGGGCAGGCATGCTGCACACTCACCAGCACTCCAGCAGACAGCTTCTCCCCAGCCCAGCCTGGAAAAGGCAGAAGGCTGCTCTGGCCGGGTAGCTCAGATACACCAAGGTTGTGGGTTCGATGCCCAGTCAGGGCACATACCAGAAGCAACCAATGAATGCATAAATAAGTGGAACAACAAATTGGTGTTTTTCTCTCTTCCTTCCTCTCTCTAAAATCTATTTTAAAATGGGGGGAGGGGGAGTCAGAAAGTAGGCTCCAGCTTCCCAGGTTGCTTTTCCTCTCCCCACCACATACAAGCCTTTTTGACCTTAAATATTGCCTCCCACTTTCTCACACCCCTTCCCTCCATTAGGTGAAGGGACTGTCTGAGTTCAAGTTAGCCTGATTTCAGCCCCCTGTTAGAATAGGGTTTCCTACAGTCACCTGGACGTGAAAGTCACCTGAAATGCTTGTTAAACGTACAGATGTCTGGGCCCACTTCAGATTTGCTGGGTTGAAGACCTAGGAGCCTGCGTGCCGAGGCCAGCTAGAACCCACTTCACCAGGAGACTTCCATCATCCAGAATCACAAACGCTGATGGACAAAGCATGAGGCCAGTTTGTTCCAATTCAATGATTAAAGAACCATAGGCCCAGCTAGTCCAGTCTCAGGGATTGGGCCCCAGGAAATTATAGTAAATATACAAACCCATGCATGGCAGCCCCTTATGGAGCCCCTGTGCAGTGCACAACCTACCCAGGTGTTCACAGCAGCTCTACATCACTTAGTTTGCAAGTGCTAACAAAATTCCTCTTACTTTTTTATGTTAGAAAAAGAAAGCACATTTTTCACGACAGAGGCTTGAGCCATGTGTAATCGGTTTACGGAAGAGCTCTGTGAATTAATCCCCGGGGCAGAGCCCGCTGAATCGCTCCTGAACATCCCCCGATGGCCTAGTTTGCTTTAGTAAGGAGTTTCACTGTATTAATAATAGTAGCCACTTTCTGAGTGCTATGTGGCAAGCACACAGCTCTGCATGCTTCACTTAACTCATTTAATAAAGCTGTGGTCACAAGGCCATAGATTTTTTAAACCATTGGAGTAAATTATACATACAGAAAAGTGCACATAAGTGTATACACCTCGGTGAATTTTTACAAACACCACCCAAGTCACCATTATTACCATCACCCCAGAAACATCACCCCCCCACACACACACACACACACACACACCACAAAAAAGAACAAGGATTTTTGTCTATTCCCTGTTGTATCCCAATACTTAGTACAGTGCCTGGCACAGAGCAGATGCTTAGTAAATATCTGTTAAATGAATGAAGTGTAGAAAGGTGAAGTAATTTGCCCACGGTCACACATTTAGTAAGTGGCCCAACCAGGGTGAGCCCAGGTAGGATGGCTTCAGTGTCCTGGGGCACAGCCATTACACCATAGCACCCTGCAGCTACAGCTTTTTTGCACAGCATCCTCCCCTTATATAGATTTCTTCTAAAAGGCAGACCCGCTGCTCTCTGCTAGTCTATGTCTTCAGATTTTAATGTTGGGAATGCAAGACCAAGTTAACCTTCAAGTCTTTCTCTCATCAAAGTTTATATTTGTGTATAGCTTAAAGCCAGTTTGATCCTTAAGCTGCCCCCCAGGGCTGGCTTTCCTCTCTTTACAATTTGAGAGGAATCCAGTTTTATTCATTCTTTCTCTAAAATTGCACCCTCCGTCTTTAAGGTTGTACAGGCCAGCAGAACTTAAAATTCCATAAATGACTGTGATTGTGGATAGGGAGGTGTTGCTGCAGAGTAGAAGCAGGCTGACTCCACCAGTTTCAGAAGAGGACAACATCTGTCACTACCCTCCGCCCGCAAATATAAGGTTTAGTACATCCTGATACGCCAAGGTTGCAGATTCAATCCCTGGTCAGGGCACATACAAGATCAACCAATGAATGCATAAACAAGTGGAACAAATAGATGGGGTTTTTTTTTCTCCTCTCTAAAAATAAATTAAAAACAAGTAAAAAAAAAACAAAAACAGATGTTATTTTGTTAGGAATTACTTACCAAAGTGGTCTTGGCATTTTACTGTCCGACTCATCAAGATGTGATGGCAGGTGCTGTCACCTGTTTCATGAGCGATGCTTAGCCTGTGACCAAAGTTCAAATAGTGGGTCATTTTCATGTGGAAACACAGCTCAAAGAGCAGATGGGCATATACTTAAACAGCTGAGAGAGCAGATGGGCATATACCTATGAGATATTACTGAGGTTAGCACACCTTAAAACTGCTTTTAACAAACGTGATAATGGAATTCTCAGATGCACAAAGCTTTATAGAATGTAGACACCATTAATTAGTGTACAATCCAATGATACAGGGACCAACTTTACACTCACTTAACAAAACTTTATTAAAGCAGAGTCTTATTTGGTATATTAAAAAGTCCAAAAAAGGATCCTTGCAATAAATCTGCTAGCAGAGTCCATGGGGGTGGGTGGCTTCCTGCCCCTCCCACAGTATCCCAGTGTTCAAGCTGGGTAGGCAGTCAGCATAAAAGTTTTTTCAGCAGCTTGGACTGGAGTTCTGAGTCCATCCTCTGAAAAATGAATTTCTACCAGTTGTGAATTAAAAACAGCCAGGATGTCTTCCACTTGTGGTTACTGTATATACATAATTCACTATTCTAGGATTTTAATGTGACCTCAAATAGGAATTGATTTGAATTATGTCCAATGGCAGCAATAGTCCCAAAATAACGTCTTTCTGCGTGTGTTCCTTTTATTGGTTCCAGACAATTTTGTAGTGGGAAGGGACGGAGCCAACAAGGGTGGGTGGGTTCCCTCACATGCCCAAAACATGGCTAACATCTCAAGGACTGTCCAAGAGACCATGCATTCCTCCAGAGATGTCACAGTCTTAAACTTGGTACCAGGTGGGAAATAGCATGAGCTTTGGCCCTAGAGGTCGGAAGGAAGGGCTGGTGGTTGGGGGGACAGAGAGAAACTGAGTCCCTCAGCTGAAACCCTGGCTGGTCCCACCCGTCTCCAAGACATTAATTTTTGTCCAGTTGTGCTCTGGTTGATGACAAGGCCTCCTGCCCCAAACATGGGCTGGAGTTGGACATATGACCCTTGTCCTGGAAAAGGGCCTCAGTTGCTGCTGCTGCTGCTGTCCTCACTATCCGAATACGCACCCAGCTGGCTCAGAGAGGAGGTGCCGGGCGTCCTGGGTGCAGGGTCTGCGGCTTTCCCGTTCTTCATAGTGCCCAGTGTGGGTGCCGGCTGGCCCTGTGGGGTGCTGCGATCCAGGCCTGTTTTCTTCACCACCACGAGGCCTGAGAGCTGGGGCTTGCTGCCAAGGGTGCCCACACTCCGCTCCCAGCTCTCCATCTTCCTCTTCGCCTTCGGGCCTTCGTCCAGGATTGCTGTGGGGTTGGGGCTGGGGTTGGGCAGGACGGCCGGCTGGGGCGGGGCAGGAGCAGCATCCTCTTCTGAATCGGAGTCCTCCAGCAGTCTTCGTTTCCTGGCTTCTTCCACCAAGGCTGCCGTCTCCCTCTCGTCCTCCTCCTGCTCCTGCTTCAGTCGCTCCTCCTCGGACAGGCGGTGCTGCCGCAGCATGGCCTCAAAGTCCACGTGGGCCTGCCGCTGGTTCAGGTCCTTGAGCTCCTGCAGATTCTCCAGCACCTCCATCTCCAGCTTGGAGTCCTTGGTTCGGTTCTCCAGCACCTTCATGGGATTGTTCAGCTCCTCGTCCTCCCGCTCCTTCTGCACTCGCTTCTCCTCCTCCTCCAGGAGCTTCTCGGCCTGGAAGTTGCGCGTGGCCCCGTGCTCCATCGTGTAGTCGGTGTTTTCGGGGTCTGTCTTGAAGGTGATCTCTGCCAGGCAGCGCGTGCACTTAATGTAGAAACGGAAGATGGGCAGGCCCAGGTAGACCTCGTTCTGCACCGTCTCCTTGCGCGCGTTGAACTTCTTACCCTTGTAGATGTATTCTCCGCACGTCTTACACCTCATATTGAAGGGGGCCATCAACCGCACCACGTACTGCCGATCTTTGGGGAGCTTGAGCTTCGGGATCTTTGACGGGTCAAAGTCGGGGGGATAATACTTATTTAAAACTTTTCGCTCCGACATTTTCGCCCCCTATTCTTCTCACTAGCACGGGAGAACTGTTTAGGACCGGTGTTTACCGAACTTCCGCTACACTTCCGTCGACGTCACTCTTTCTGCCTCTATGATTGGCTGCAGCATTCGCATCTTGCCTTTTTCATTGGCTCCAACCCCCGTCTGTCAGGGTCCAAATCCTTCTGTCTATCTTCCCGAGTTGCAACCTCTGTAGTGCGTAACAAAGGTTCCGGCGGTGGTCTGGACTCGGGGAAGTTACGAGGAGGCGCTGCGCTAGTTAAAATGTTGGCGTGATGGGAAGTAGCTGGTTGCGGCATTCCCTGTGCTTCATTCTTTTATTCACCAAACAGAGCGCTCGGTGTTGAGTGCTTACCCCGTGTGCTGGCCTCTGGGAGCCCACACGTTCCATGTCCCAGCGCTGACGTGGACACTGGGGACAGTTCCCACGGGCTACACAGGTCGCCACAAAGAAGCACCCAGGACACCCCGCCCCAAGTTTAGCTTGAGTCCCAGGCTGACGCGAAGACAAGCTTCCAAACCTACCTCCCCCGACGCTCACACTAGCTGCCGAATATCCCCCACTGCCCTCCTGCGTTTTCCCTTTGAAGAGAACGTCTCACCCCATTCTTTCCCCGGCCGCCTCCCTTCCCATTTCCCCCCCAAATTGTGGTAAATTGGTTTTTAACATTGTGTAAGTTTCACATGTGTAACTTTATAGTTCAACATGGGTATGTACTACAACTTGATCACCACCAAAGGTTTAGTTTCCATCCATCGCCACAAAATTGAGCCCCCCCCCCCCCACCCATTTGGCCCACCCCTCACGAACCCCCTTTTCCTCTGGTAACCACCAATCTGTTTTCCATATCTATGAGTTGGTTTTGTTTGTCCTTTTTTAAAAAATATATTTCACATATGAGTGAAATCGTGTTATTTTTCTTTGTCTGACTTATTTCACTTAACATAATATCCTCAAGGCCCATCCATGTAGTCCCAAATGGCAAGGTTTAATTCTTTTAAATGTTTTGTGGCTGACGAGTATTCCACTGTGTACATATGTCACATCTTCTTTATCCATTCATCTGACAATAGACACTTAGGTTGTTTCCATACCTTGGATATTGTAAATAGTGCTGCAGTGAACACAGAGGTCCATATATCTTTTTAATAAATGTTTTTGTTTTCTTTGAATAAATACCCAGAAGTGGAATAGCTGCATCATAGAGTAAAGAGTTGTGGTGGTGGTGTTTTTTAAACATGAAGAATTTTAGGCCCTACCCGGTTTTGCTCAGTGGATAGAGCGTCGACCTGTGGACTAAAGGGTCCCAGGTTTGATTCCAGCCAAGGGCACATGTCCAGGTTGTGGGCTTGATCCCGACCCCCCTCCCCACCGCTCGCAGTGGGGGACGTGCAGGAGGCAGCCGATCAATGATTCTCTCTCATCATTGATGTTTCTATCTCTCTAGCTCTCTCCCTTCCTCTCTGAAATCAATAAAAATATATTTAAAAAAATAATTTTAGTCTTTTCAGCCAATTCCAAATAATAAACATTGCATATGTAAAATATTACCTGTTTTTAAAAATTTATTTGCGAGAGAGAAAGAGAGAGGAAGGGCGAGAGAAGAAGAGAAACGTCGATTTGTTGCTCCACTTACTTATGCATTCATTGGTTGAATCTTGTATGTACCCTGACCAGGGATCAAACCTGCAACCTTGACTTATTGGGCCGATGCTCTAGTCAACTGAATTACCCAGTCAGAGCTTAAAATAATTTTTGTTAAGTCAAAATAAATTTATATTCTGTGACATTTTGTTCCATGCTGCAGGACCTCAGATTTGGGTTACCTAAAATTCACAGCGACTAACCAAGGGGCGGGAGGAGGGCGGGGGGAGAGAAAGACAGCTTCAATATATGTCCATGGTCAGAGGACATGGACTATTTAAAGATAAAGGACTGCAATTATTTGGTACATTTGGTAGTAATTAAAGAAGATTAAAAACAATCAGATACGATTTTCTACCTAATGGAATATTAAAGAATAACATCTTCATGTAAAGAGCTGAAACAAATATTTTGTTTTGGGGACAGTATCAATTAATAGAAAAATTCCGCCCTAACCGGGTTTGGCTCAGTGGATAGAGTGTGGCTCAGTGGACTGAAGGGTCCCAGGTTCGATTCCGGTCAAGGGCATGTACCATGATTGAGAGCACATCCCCAGTAGGAGGTGTGCAGAAGGCAGCTGATCGATGTTTCTCTCTCATCGATGTTTCTAACTCTCTGTCCCTCTCCCTTCCTCTCTGTAAAAAATCAATAAAATATATTTTTAAAAAATACAAACAGCATATTTCACAGAGCTAGAATAAATACTCCCAAAAATTTATATGAAATAAAAAAAGACCTGAGCTCAAGCTGGTTTGGCTTAGTGGATAGAGCATCAGCCTGCAGACTGAAGGGTCCCAGGTTTGATTCCTGTCAAGAGCACGTACCTCGGTTGCAGGCTCCTCCTCGCCCCGGGCCCTGGTCAGGGCACGTGCAAGAGGCAACCAATTGATGTGTTTCTCACGTTGATGTTTCTCTGTCTTTCCCTCTCTCTTCCACTCTCTCTAAAAATCAATGGAAAAATCTTCTAGGTGAGGATTTAAAAATATATAAAATAAAATAAAAAAAGACCTCGAATAGGTGCAGCAATTTTGAGAAAAACAAAGTTGGAGGAACCACAATACCAGATTTCAAGTTAGATTACAAAGCCACCATAATCAAAACAGCCTGGTATTGGCGCAAGAACAGGCATATAGATCAATGGAACAGAAAGAGAACCCAGAAATTGACCCAAGCCATTCTGCTCAATTAATATTTGACAAAGGAGGCAAGAGCATACAATGGAGTCAAGAGAGTCTCTTTAATAAATGGTGTTGCCTAATGGAAATGTAGAAGAGTCCTAATTGGTGTAATTTCACAAGCCAAAATGGTACTCCTTGGAGAGTCAAAGATATTCTGCTTATAAGTCTAAACTAGAGGGCTTTTCCTTCATATTTGCTTCTAATTCTTTGTAGTGCTTTGAATTGTTTATTTTACTAGAAATGCAGTGAAGTATTGTTTATTCCACTGAAGTGACTTGAAATGACCTCCTGCGCTTTGGGTGCAAGTTGATGCTGAAAAAAAAACCCACCAAATAAAACAAAACACAGAGTTGCCACACCAGTGTCTGCATTATAGGCCACTAGATATTAAACTCCAGGAAGTTTGTAGAATTCCTCCGGTCAGCTGCTGTACCCCTGTGCCTTACAGGTTCTTTGTAGACTCGCCTTATGATTTGCACGAAAGACTGGGAGGAGGGGAAGCGGCCATGTCCTGGTGAACCTATGCAAACACAAAGGTTCCGAGGCACAATGCAAGCAAGCATGTGTCCTGTATGTCAGAGCCCGGGTCTGCACCATGAGCAGTTTCCATAACTGTCCAGTTCCTGCCATCTTTCAGACTTATAATCTGCTCTAGATACTTAGTTTGAACCCCTAGGTTGTGAAATGTATTCGTTTCCTGCCATCATTACTGTAAAATCTTCTTGTTCATGAACAATGGATTTGTCCTTTAATTTTTTTTTAATTGTTGAAGGTTGTCTTTGAGTGTAAGATCTAACTTACCAGAAAAGGAGACTTTGTAATGTTAAAAAAAAAAAAGTCCTCATTCAATAAAAGTTGAAAAAAAATAAATGGTGTTGGTAAAATTGGACAGATACATGCAAAAAAATGAAACTAGACCACCAACTTACACCATACACAAGAATAAACTCAAAATGAATAAAAGATTTAAATGTAAGTCATGAAACTGTAAAAATTCTAGAAGAACCATAGACACCAAAATCTCAGACATCCCTCATAGCAATATGTTTATGGATACATCTCCTAGGGCAAAGAAAACTAAGGAGAAAATAAACACATGGGACTACATCAAAATAAAAAGCTTCTGCGCACAGCAAAGGAACCATCAACAAAACAAAAAGATAGCCCACTGTGTGGGAGAACATATTTGGCAATGATACATCTGATAAAGGGTTAATATCCGATATATATAAGGAACTCATACAACTTAACAAAAGGGAAGACAAACAATGCAATTAAAAAATGGACAAAGGACCTAGATACCTCCAAAGAGGACATACAGAAGGCGAAGAGACATATGAAAAAATGTTCAAAGTCACTAATCATCCAAGAGATGCAAATCAAAATGACAATGAGGTACCATCTCACACCTGTCAGAATGGCTTCCATCAACAAATCAACAAAGGACAAATGCTGGCGAGGATGTGGAGAAAAGGGAACCCTAGTACACTGCTGGTGGGAATGCAGACTGGTGCAACCATTATTAAGAACAGTATGGAGTTTCCTCAAAAAACTTAATATGGAACTGCCATTTGACCCAGTGATCCCACTTCTAGGAATATAGCTTAAGAAATCAGAAACACCAATCAGAAAGAAGATATACACCCCTATGTTTATAGCAGCACAATTTACAATAGCTAAGATCTGGAAACAGCCCAAGTGCCCATCAGTAGATGAGTAGATAAAAAAGCTGTGGTACACTTATACCATGGAATACTATGCAGCTGTAAAAAAAGAAAGAATCTCTTACCCTTTGAGACAGCATGGAGGGACCTAGAGAGTATCATGCTAAGTAAAATAAGTCAGTCAGAGAAAGACAAGTATCACATGATCGCACTCACATGTGGAATCTAAGTAACAAACAGATAAGCGGAGTAGATCCAGAGAAATGGAAGCATGGAACAGAGTGTGGAATCTCAGAGGGAAGGTGGGGGAGGGTGGGTGGGTGGGAGGTAATCAACCAAAGACCTTGTATGCATATATGCATAACCCATAGACACAGACAATAGGATGCTGAAACCTAGGGCAGGGAAGGGGGTGTGTGGGCTAGAGGGGGTCAATGGGGGTAAAAGGGGACATATGTAATACTTTAAACAATAAAGAATTATTTTTTAAAAAAAGAAAAATTTCATTTGGAAAATGATCTATATCTATATATATAAAGCCAAGCAACTGGAATGACCGGAATGCCCGGTCACTATGACAT